CACCTTGGTCTGCGCAACTTTATTTTGCATGAAAATTGATCCCTAACGGCTCTAAACAACCTCCAACGGCTAGAAACGGCCACAACAACATTCCAACACATAAATACAAGTTCAAGACACTTGAAGAAGGGTTAGAACACCTATCCAAGCAATCAAACACAAGAGAAGAACTTTTCACTCTTTATTTCAATTCTCTTGTAATTATTTTGTTCTTATGAGCTAAATTTTGTAACCATTTTCCTTGGTTAGAGGTTTTCTTATTTACATTCTTTTTCCTTTTGTAATGGGTTTTTGGTTCTATCTTAGCAAATTGAAAAGATAGGGAGTTGTAAAGGTTATCTCTTGATCCTTTAAAAAGAAAGAACAAATTAGTGAATTTGTTAGAAAATCCTTAGTGATGAGCTAAGGTAGTGGATGTAGACTTGGTTAAGAAGTAGAACCACTTTAAATCCTTGTGTTCATTGTTTTATATTTTTCTCTCCTTACTCCCTAAATTCAATTTTATTTTTTAAACCCCTTTACACCCTTTTGGTTGTCAATTGAGCCTCTTCACTAAACCTAACAATATACCTTAAACACTTCTAAAAGTTTGTATATGGGATCCACAAAACGGTTATAGTCTTGACGGGTATACGAGCAAGCTGCTATGACATGAGAGCATGAATACTTTAGAGCTTGAAAAAACCCACAGTCGCAACATCTGTCTCGTAGATTAACTCTGAACGAGTTAGCTTGAATCCCTTGAAGAGGTCACAACATCTTTGTGACACAAAATAATTTATGGATTCTAGAGAAGCTTGTTATAGGAATTCCATTTGATGCAACAATTTGTTTAGATATTTAACTAATCTTGGGTGATAGTTAAACCCAAGTTTGAGCTTGTTCCCCGAGCTTGGAAAAAAGTGCTCCCAAACGAAAATATGTTGTTTTAACCAAAGCCGTTACTGGTAAATAGTGTGCCCCTTTAAGGTCAAATTGATAGCCTTTTCCAAGTTGGTCGTCACGTGTTCATATCGATATCCACCATTATATGCATTTGTCCACCTTTCTTTGTTGATGAGGCTAATGTAATCGTATCATTCCTCGTTCTTTCCTCTCGACTCTTGAAGTATGGACTCAAATGTTTCAGGTAATAGTTCATAACCTGAGCATCAAATGTAGAACTTAATAACATTGCTTCCATAAAAAATATGAAAATGATTGAAAAATAAAAAAATAACATATTTGACATACCCTTACGCACAAGTAATTGGCGCTCATCATTCTTCTTGAACATTCCATGATTGTTAGGAGCAATGTGTCGGATACAGTACCGATCTTGGACATAGAGTGGTTGCCACATTGGACCCAAAAAATTGATTGCTACTTTGATCCTAGCTATACTATCTCAAATGATAGATTTTCCCCTCGTGACAACATGTAAGCATAAGTTTCTAAGGAAAAAAGCCCAATAATCTGTATATTGTCCTTCAACAAGGGCAAAAGCAACTGGAAGAATGTTGCGATTACCATCTTGGACAACTACCAATAGTAAACCTTTCTTGTATTTTCCATACAAGAATGTCTTGTTAATTTGGACCGCGGGCTTGTAGTATTTCATGACATTAATGCATTATGGGTAAGTCCAAAAAAGCCGGTAGAATTGGCATCGATCGTGAAGCACTCGATCATTGTGGTATGCATGGCAAGTTTCGAAGTCGAGAATTGTCCAAGGATTCAATCTGCGCACTACCCAAAGCCAACTTGGTACCAAAACCAACTTGGTAGTTCATTGTAAGATGTATCTCATTCGTCTTGAAGTTTTTTAATGGCATTCTGCTTTGCCTTCCATACTTTCCTGTATAAGACGATATACCCATTCTGCGATTGTATAATTGAAATAAGCACCTCAATAGCTATATGGGAGCTTGTTTTTACCATGGGCATAATGACTTGGTAGATAATGTTGGAGTCCAAGTTGGGATGATCCTGGTTGATCCATCCAGCATAACATCTGTGAGGATCGTTGTATACCGTTACTTCCTATATATTGTTTTTCCTCTTCCTCTTCAACGCGAACCATCCAATTGCATCTGTTATCACATTGGACACAATGGCAGATATACTTTTCAGTGGTGGAACGGTCGACTCTAGACTGAATAGAATTACGAATGTTGTAATTTTTAATTGCCATCATATATTCTTTGAATGAAAACTCTATTCCTTTATATAACTCACCATCATTGATTGATGCGTTAAATCCGTAGTCATCGACATTAGGCATATCCGAAAATTCTGGCCCATACATTGCACCATAGTCAGCTTCATACATGTCTGCTGGAGGTTAGGTGTGCACTGTATTTGTGTGAACTTCATCCACATCATAATCATTGGAGTCCATGTTGAACTGCGGTGATTCTGGTTGAATAAATAGTCCAGTATAAGCACCATCCGCACCTGGCTAACGAAGAGGTTATTCTGGTGGAAATGAGGGTTCCTCCACGATGTTGACATTTAGGTCGAACAAGCTGGTAGTTGTATGTCTCCCCCTTGAACTTGAAGGCATCTCGACATTGAGGTTGAAGAAGCTCACTGTTGAATGCCTCCCCCTGGAACTTGAAGGCATCGTGTTAAATGTGTAATGCACATATTGATGCATCAAGGGCATCTTCATATTCAGGTCAAAGAAATTGACAGATGAATGCATTCCCCTTGAACTGGACGCAATTTTGTCATACGAATTGTTTGTGGAGCCACCTCGATACAGATCGTAAGAAATTGCTGATGAATGTCTCCCCATTGAACTTGATGGGATGGCACCATGATGTGGATTTCCTATTAACAAGTTAAAATCATTACATATTACTTGAGTTGGGCTGTCAACTTGATCAACTTGTTGACCCAGCCCATAGTGGGAGCATAATGATATACCACGAAAAATACGCACTTCAACAAATTTTGCATACATTTGTGTATCGGCGTCTGAATATTGATTTTGAGAATCAACCATCATAGCAACATCGTCATCATTGGATAGTTCGAACGCTGTATAAGTTAACGAAAATATTGCGGTTGAAAATATGAACTAAATGAGGACAATCTTCTAGTACTTCCAACATGAACCTTCATTGAAATTTTCGTTATCAACGCCTCAAGAATTATGTTTCTCTTAAGGATATTCTGACAGAATGATTTTATGCGAAGACAACGCCGGTTTCATCTTCCCAAATTTCTCCATCATAGTAAACAATAGCTGAAATACGTGTCATACTGAGAGTTTGAAAGATTGAGAGTCTTATATATGCAAAACAATTAGCTGAAATAGCCTAATTAAATAAGTAGTATATGCATTAAAATATAAACTAATAAAAAAATTAAATTTTTTCACAATAATTTAAACAATATAATTTTATATTGTTATCGTATCGATTAAAATGTCTTGATGTATGATCTCACTTTCCAATTTTACAACCGCAAAAATTAATACAAAATAATTAGTACAATAATTTTTTTCTTCAAATAATCATACATAAAATAAATATAATATAATAAAAAATAGTTTTACCTTACAACAAAAATAAAAGGAATTGATAAAACAAAAATAAGAAATAATTTTGATGTGGTCATGTTTAAATAGAGAGGGTTTTATTTACAGGGGAGGGAGGGTTTAAAGGATGAGCTGCTCGGGTGGTATCATTAATGGAAGGTGCAAATTATTATACGCGCCTTACGTATGCGTGTCAGAAACCCTTAGAAGGCGAGAATGGCGATATGCGTTTGTCTTGACACGGCGTCAGCTCGGATAAGACACGGATGGCAATTCACATCTTTCATGATGTGGCGACAGCTCGGACATAATCCCGCAAAAGCGCAGATCACCTCAAAAAGGATATTAGATCAATAATATTAGAAGAAAGAGTGTATGACAAATAATTATTATCTGTACGGGTTATATTTCGATAAAGTTGCCAAGATTCCCACTGGCAGTGTCTTACGGTTACCAAAAAATTAATAAAATCTTAAAAAGTAAAATAAAATCCACCTAACTAAGAGATGTTACAATTATTAAAGCGTTACTCGGTACTTCCATTTTTTGGGCAAACTACATATTTAATACTTAAATAATTACATTTAGTCTGTTTCAGTATTTAAACTTTTTATGTTTTTCAAAATCATATCTAACGTTTAATTTTTGTTTTATTTTAGTATCTCACCATTAAAAACTTAACACGTTTAATACTTAAATTATCAGTATAATTTAACTTTTTTATTGCTTAGGAGGATGGGATTGTCGGTTTCTAACCAAGTGACAGTCATGGTCTTTATCATAATACTTGTTTTCTTTTCTATCTTCTATTTTTCTATTTCCCATCTTAATCTTTTGCATACTAATAACTTTTTTTTTTGCATACTTGAATTTTTGTGTTACTTTTGTATACAGGCCTATTTTTGAGTTTCCCTTTCGGGCCTCGGAGATTTTCGAGATGACTCTGATTAAAACACACCGAATATGACACAATAGAGACACACCAAAGTGCAAAGATCAGTCCAACTCCTGTTGAATCCAATTTTGATCATCATGTACTCTAGAAAAACACGCATTCAACTAGGTTATAAGCCTTGCTCATATCTAGTTTTAAAGCCGAATTTTCATTAGCATCCCTTATTCTATTCATAAAGAACTACAAAACCTCAGGTCCAATGAGGTTATTGTCTTTTATCTGTCTACCTGAAACAAAAACCATGTAATATTCATCAATACAAAAGTCAAGAACAATCTTGAATCGAACAACAATTATTTTCGAGATAATCTTGTATAGGACATAATAAAAACCGCATACGTAACATCGATTCTCATCAAAACCTATATACACACATTCATACATCTATAACATAGTACTTGTGCTCTTTCAAGTTTCCAAAAGGATACAATCTAGTGCCACACATATGAGTTCCGACTAAAAACCTAAATACATGAACATCTTGAACTAAAATCCAGTTTCAAGGTAACTATATGAACCAATTGAACTAAAATCACAGTTTCAAATCATTCACAAATTTATTAACAAAATGAATAACATTCCGTCGAAGAACATAACAAGAATGCATGGGGAGGAACAGAATTTTTTTTTATTGAGAAGAAGAAAGACAGTGAAAGGCATCCATCTACTAGGTAGATCATCAGGAGAACCATCCAGAAAAGAAAAAACATGGATAACACTACCAGTTCTCTTTGACAATTTTCGACTTCTCGAGAATGAATTTCCCTTCCTTGTACTTCTGTGCTACCTCGTAAGCTCGCTCATATTTCCAGCCCAACACCTCATGGCAATCACAGCAGTAGACATCAGCAACCGTGTGAAGACCAGTCATCAATTGTCTATCCTCTTTAGGACCAATCACTATGTTCATTGCATGGGAGAACAAAAAGGCCCGACCGTTTCTCCCCTGAAACTCACATTGTTAATCAACCATTGGCGCATGTATCTAATGTTTTAATGGAATTCTTGGAACAAAACTGATTTGCTTTACAATACATTTGATCCAAAAATTTTAGGGGTAAATGTTTTCATATGAAATGGAAAAAAATTCAAGTTTTCCCCTTTAATTTTTCCTGATAAGCTCTGAAAAGTGGAATCAGCAACGAGTCTGGCATACGGTGCATAAATTCAACAAAATCAGTGTCGAGATGAGTTCATTACCTGAAAGGACTTGGATATAACATCATCGTGAAGGGCAATTTGGTTTCTGCAATTGCAGCAACTATACAATCTCGGTCCGATCATTTCCGCCATTTAGCAATTATTTATCAACAACTCTACTAGTTGCCACCACTCCCACACAAGCTCAATTATCTTCTTCACAAAATCAGAAGGTAAAACAAAAGCAAAACAGAGTCATCCGTATTCAAATCAAAACCAATGAATATCATGGAAATGATACTAAAATTAATCAAAAGCTCACCTTGTATACACCAACAAAGTATACAAATTATGCTGCCAATCGACCTTTGTATGACGAAACAACTGCACCCACAACAAACACAGAGAGCTTGAATTGTAAATGAACAAAAACGGAAAGTAAGCATTTAAGATACCAACTAATGATCTAAGATAAGGTGTAATAGAAAAGGAAAATAGGAGAAACAAGTTTAAAGCTAAAAAGTCAGTAATTAGAAACACGAAATTATAAAAACCAACAACCAAAAACAAGTCGAGGACACCAAAAAAAGCCTAGATTTCACATGTTAAACCCTGCAATTGAAAAGTAGCTAAAGAAGAGTATCCGATGAAAAGATCAATACTAGCAAGAGCAAAAAGAAACCCAATTATTAGAAGAAAGCAACAGAAAAAGCAAAACCCATTGTTGTTGGACAATGAAAACGATCAAAAGAGAGGATTATAGAAAGAACAGGAAAAGGGATCAAGGGAAATGTTACGACTCCTCTTTATTTACGTTTTTATTAAGTGTTGGTTCGAACCTGAAAAAAGTTCCATGCTTTCCCGAGTTGATGATGAATGATTGCAGTTCTCAATCCTTCACTTGTTTTCTCTCTCTCAACTGTGAAGTTGTGTGTGGACGTTTGGTGAGGTTTTTTTCCCTCACCTTTTCCGATTAGAAAATGGACAAAATACGTTGGAGGCTTGATTGACATGGACTCTGTCCAAATTACCAATATGCCATTTGTTATTATTGTTAGGGTAAACTACAACTAATGGTCATTAAAGTTTTAGTACCTTTTCTTTTCCCCACTGAAGTTTGAAAAGTGATAAATTAGTCATTACTATTATCAATTTGTATCAAAATGGTCACTAACCTTATCAATTTATAACAAAATAATTACTATACTGTCATCTCTGTTAAAATGATGACGTTGCAACATTAAGAAAATAGTTCTTTTATTCTTACCACCGGTCTTTTAATTTTATCAATCAAACCATAAAATTATATAATTATATATTTAGTTCTCAATATTTATACATTATATCAATTTTGTCCTTATTTTAATTTAATTCAATAAACTTAATACTCTAATTAAATTGTGACACATGTCACCATTTTATTGGAGATTTTTTTTATTTTTTTATTTTTCCACCCAGAATAATTTATATATGTTAGATTCTAATTAATGTCGGAGAAAAACGGACATTAAGACATTTGAGCCTATGGTAAATAAAAATTTTTGGAATACTAAACCTTAAGTAAATTATGTATATATATATATATATAATACTAATTTATACAAGATTAAAAGAAAACTTAAATGTATGATTTATATATTTTAAACTAAATTTAATTAAATTTTTATTAAAATATAAATGTATTTTAAATACTAATTTATATAATAAAATTAAATGTGTAGAAAATATAATTGATTTGTGCATTCAAATATAAATTAAATTATTTATATTTTCCATAAATTTTATTTTTAAACTAAATTATTAATTAAATTAAAAAATAATTTAAAATTATATATAATCATTAAATTAAAAAATTTCAATAGAAAAGAAATATTAAATTTAGTTTAAAAATATATATCTTAAATTTAATTTTTCTTTTAATCTTGTATAAATTAGTATTAAAAATATATAAAAATATATATCCTATTATTATATAAATGTAAAATTTACTTTCATGGTTCAGTATTTCCAAAAATTTTATTTAGCCTAGGCTAGATGCTTCGAATGTCTTCATGTCCATTCTCCTTTCTTTTTTCTAGCATTAACTAAAATATAACATTTGGAATATATAATATTGTGTAAACCGTAAACCAAAAGTTAATGTTAGCTCTTTTGGTAAGACGTTGTCCCCCACCTCCCAATTCATGTTCGAAACCCCTTATCCTCTCTTCATTTTCCTTTCTTTGTAGTTAGTTTTAACTCCAACAAGATGGTGTCACCATGTGAGTGGAAGAAAAAAATAAAGAAATTAAATAAATTTAAAATATAAAAAATCCTCTAATAAAATGATGGAATGTGTCAGATTTTATTTAGATGGTTAAATTTATTGAATTAAATTAAAATAAAGATAAAATTGATAGAATTTATAAATATTGAGGACCAAATATATAATTATACTAATTTTATTAAATATCATTCCGTTAAATTTTAACGTCGGGTGGCTTGATTAAATGTAACTAAATAGTTTTGGGGTTTGATTGAAAAAATTAAAAGATCGTTGACAAAAGTAAAAGGACTAAATAATTGAGTGGTCAATAGTATAGTTTACCCTTAATTTTACCCCTAAACTGTAGCTATAAGATCAAATAAGTCATTGAACAATGATTTTATGTTTAATTTACCTCAAAATTTTCTAATTTCAATTTTTTTAAATACCCACCACCTTCATTATAGTTGAACCATATTCCTTGCAAAATAAAAAATGATAAAGATTTAAAAATCGTTTCTCTTTTCATTTTTTATATATACTTTCTCATTTTCATTTTTTCAGGATGAGAGGTTGAGATTGTTACTTCTAGAACACAACAAATGACAAACTACAGTATTGTTAAAATAAATGGAGGTAAATGCATTATTTTACTTAATCAAAGAGACTAAGAGATACAAAAAGCAGCAAATAAAACAATGGAGCTTCAAAACTTGTTGAAGAAGCTGGAGATGGATAATAATGCATGACAAAAAGTGACGTGTAAGAGCGAAGCGATGGTTGTGTCTCAAAACAATAAACTAGAAACACTACGAGAGCAAATAGCTACCAACAATGGAGTCGACAATACAAAATCATGGTGTGAAGTTGAAGATCAACAAGACGAAGAAAGAATAAGAATGACAATGGTTTACAAAAGTTATTATACTCCAAGTGTTTGTGTTTTAGACTCTACAAGAGTTGTATATGGTTAAGTTAGCAAACAACCATAATGTAAATTAGTGACACATTACATCAATCACTAACCCAAATGTTTTCATTTATTGGTCGTTTTAGGTCAAATTATTTTGCTAATTTTATGCGCTTAGTGATGACATTTTTATGTTGATATTTTGTGCCTTATTGTATAGTTCATGGTTATTTTGTTAGTTTAAATTTTGCTATGAAAACTACTTCTAGTTTCAGACAATAGTTGTCAGCATGATTCTTCTTGTCAAACCACTAGTTGTATGCCATGTTGCATGTTAATCACTCGAGTAAGCTGGAAAAGAACATAAAATATGTATAAAGATAATCATAGCTACTCTTATTGTTGGATGACATTTTATTGAATTTGGTTATAGTTTAGTGATTTAGTAAGATTCAAATATTATTAACACGAGTTCAAATTGCATAATTTTCATTCACTCATTGCATTGTTACTTCATGTAAAATTTAACTAAGCTAAAATGATAATTATTAACACAAGAAAATCAAGTTTTTTTCTCTAACAAACGCAAACACTTGGAGTATCACAACGTTTGTAAATCATGGTCGTTTTTCTTATTCTTCTTACTTGTTCGTCGTGTTGATCTTCAACTTCATACCATGATTCTGCACCGTCGACTCCATTATGGCATCTAATTGTTCTCATATTGTTTCCAACTTATTGGTTTGAGACACAAGCATCGATTCACTCTCATGCGCCACTTTTTTCCATGCATGATTATCCATCTCCAGCTTCTTTCACAAGTTTTGAAGTTGTTGAGCTCTTACGAACAACTGAAATGGAAAAGAGGGGGTGAATTAGCCTTTGAAAGAATTGTGGTGAATGCAATCGAAAACTTAAAACTTTGCAAAAATGATTTAGAGTGGTTCAACTTCTAAACCAAGTCTACATCCACTACCTTAGTTATCCACACTAAAGATTTCTCAAATCCACTAGATTTGCAAACTTTTGAGGATAAGGTGTAACCTTACAAAGACACACAAGGTTTATACCCCAAAACCTTGCTTACACACTCTCCCAAAGAGAAATTATAAATTTGGCAAACAAAAGAGAAACCACACAAAGGAAAATATATTTGCACAAATTAAGCATTTGCCAAGAATCACACTTGAGCAAAATTAAAAATGTATGTAACACCCTTAGACTGATGCGGGTGACCCGATCTGATTCGAGGTGTTATATTAGGGCCACTGGAGTGGCCCACAATAACAATCCAGGAAAAATAATTTTTTTGTTAAAATGTGTAAAATCGTAAAACAATTTATAAATAAAATACAAGTTCAGAAAACCATTCATATATTACAAACAAAATTAAAATCATACAAGTTACAGACTCAATATATAAAAAAAAATCAAATGTGACATATATGCCTCATAATTACACATTGTACCGTACTCTGCAAGCAAAGCTGAATGAACTCCCAAAATTGAAGTTGATAGCTGCACTAGATCGAGTTTTTTAACCTGAAATGGTGAGTAAAGAGTGAGCTTTGGGAAGCTCAGTAATACAAAACTACCAGATGAATGCAATAGGCCATCAGGTATAAGATAAAGCATAAATTCCTTAGCAGGACAGTCATCATTATATTCTAGCGGTCAATTCAGATTCCATTAGCTAAGTCTTCAGTTACAAACAATAATTTATGGTCTGAAGGAAGTATTCAGAGAGAGATAGATTCAGAAGATTAAATTGGAAAGTCTAGTTTATTCCAACAAAACAGATAAATGTGTACAGATCCTTTAAAAACATTAGTAGTTTAAAACATATTTTAAAACCACAGTAATACCCTCCAACAGAACATCAATATACAGTTCCTCGGAACTGCATCCATAAGGACTTAGGCATATGTGCCAACCTAATGGTGCACCTTGGGTCCATAAGGTCTTACCCTAGCCAAAGCGTAGGTGCCTACCTGAGGGGGTGTGCCCTCAGGCCCATAAGGACTTACCCAATGCATACAGCAAAGGAGCCACCCTAAGGGAGTACCTTAGTGTGCATAAGGTCTTACCACTAGGCCTATTGGGTCCAAGAGCCCACCTAAGGTTCGCCTTAGGTCAATAAGGAATTACCAGCTTGATCGGTACTGAACTTGTATGAGGAATTATCAGGTTGATCGTAGATGAACCTACATACTCCAAAAATCCTACCCAGACAGTATCCCAATAATTGGTTCATACAGTAAACAGTAGATTCTATGATCAATAAATAAGGAACGATAATATTTTCCAGTGAAAATAGGTAACTAGAGAACACATATCATGTAGCCATAGTTCATAAACAGTAATTCAATCCATCAGTAAATCCGTAATTTCAGAAAATCACATTTTAAAACAGGTAAAACAATTATATGGCACATAAGGAACACACTAGAGGATCCAATTATTTTTCGGAGATACTTAGCAATTATCAAATGGGGGAACACAAAACTTCTGCAAACTGATTGAATTTCAAAAATGAGATCCCTATGAAAAGGGGGTTTGATAGCTAAAAGATTCATCAGTCATTCGAGAAGTGATTTATCAAGATCATATAATATTTAGATATTTTTTCGGAGGCACTAAGGTGGTGTTTGTTTTCACTGTTTAAGGTCTTCAAAGCTCTTATGTCTGCGCCGCGCAGACCACGCGCAGACATTGGGCTTCGCAGACCGTTTGTTTTTTAGAAGACAGAAGCTCTTTTAATGTGTGTGCATCCTCTTCTTGGCGCATACGTGGACTTATATCT